GCTGCTCTAAAGAAAACAGAGCGGGTTGGGGTTTTTTCTTTCAAAATAGCCTTCTCATCTCCCACATTCTGCACCTAAATGTCATAATCGGAGAGTAAAACTGGAGGATTTGCAGCAAAGGTCCCTCCATTTTTTGTGGCATTTCCAGAACTGCTGCCCTTGCACTGCTACCATGGTTTGGCTGCCTGGCTACATTGCCGCTGGCTCTGTGCTGACTGGAATCACAAAACAGACTGCTTAAAGAAAAAACTGCTGTCAGCTTCGTGTGCACTCTGCCGAGCTACCTGACTGCTCAGATCTGTGTCCCATTTACTTTGGTGGGTCCACAGGTTCTATATTAAACTTTTCCAAATCTAATGGAATGTTAAAGGCCAAATCTTTACACCTTGCAGGGAGGGAGGGTGGTGTTAGTTTCCTGTTCTGATTTTTCGGAAGTATGCTTGTACGCCCACACTGCACTGACCTGGATTTGCCAGTGCAAGCTGTCATGGGACATTATTCCATACAGGTTTTGGAGCTGTTCAAGACACATTCTCTTTCAGCCTGCAACGCTTTGACATCCTTCCCTATAACTATCTGCATGACAGAATCTCTCTGCTGGACGCTGCACTGCACAGAGCAGCATGGTAATTTATTCACAAGTTCATTAGCATAAATGCTAGACCACAAAGGGAACATCCACAGAGCATTTTTCCCTTACGTGCAACACCGCTATTGCTTAAGATACACCACAAAGACCATACTTAATTATTTAACAAATAAACATGCACCCTAAAGTCATTTTAACCAAACTACATCTATCAATAGGTATGTCTAAAGCAAATAATCATACTGGACAGAAACCCGCTGGTTCTAAACACTTCTCTTGGCTGGCTCCAAATCCAAAGCTGTTTGTGCTCTGTAGGCTTTTTACCTTTGGACTTGTTTTTGTCCTCATCTGTTTCAGCTTCACGTTGGAGGCCATGCGGTTTCAGACTGCTGGCAACAGACTGCATCTTGCTTATTGTCAGTTGATTTTGATTCACTTAAGGGCATCTGACACAGCGTGGCTTTCTGCCATATCACCTCAGGCTGTTCTCACCATCTAGGCAGTGCCAGGTTCCCCAGCTCATGAATGGGAATCTTCCCTCCCCACCCAAGCCTCTCCCGCCCCGACCCACAACAGGAAAGCCAAGGCTGCTGAAAGAAATAGGAACGGCAACAAAGCTGGCATTGTTGTCCTGAAAAACCACTGGCTACAGCCCACCCACTTCAGTTAGGGATAACGGATAAAAAGATGAATCCTAGCTTTGTTTAAAAAACGTATTTGCCTTTGTCTTTGGAAAAGTCTTGAAAATGGCAACAATGTCACCGCTGCAAGCAAAAAGAAAAACAGGGGACGGGGAAGCGGCACTATTTGTCTATGAGTCATGCTACTCAGGGTGGTCTTTGAGGTATAAATCTCTGAGCAAGTTCACAGTGGTGCACTTCATGGGGGAGGAAGCAAGCACCTCTCAGGATGCCATTGACTACACTAGGGCATTTTTAAGCTCTTACTGATGGGGTTGTCCAGAAAGCTAAGCAATACGTGGGTAAGAAAGGTTTCAACATAGTATGCTGTTTATAATTAGAAAGCCTTCAGCTTATAGTTTTTAAGATTTCAGTGGCTGTTGTGATCACTGAGTCTTCTTTAGCGTAGACCAGAACACAGCACTCCACCCAGCAATCTCTGGGTTAAAAACTACAACAACAACAACTGTGGTTAACTGACTCAAAATCATCCTTCCAGATTATAAGATATCAATACAACAGATAAAAGTTATAAAATTCACCCAGTAATCAAGCAACAGCAACCTTATACTTTAAAGCCTGCAGATGAGTATTTATAGGACCTATAAGCATCGCTCTAATGGACCTACTTAATGATGTCTCCATGTTTTCATAGTGCAGCTGTTTCTAGTACTGTTTTTGCAGTAAGTCCAAATGACATTAGTGGTAGATTAGGAATCTGACACATCAATTAGTAATCCATTCGCTTTTTCCAAAAGTCTACATCAGAAACAATCTGTGAATGCCAAACAGAGCTTGTGATCTCCATGGACATTTGTTAGTTTCAGGGCAAGAAGTAATAAATCTCAGCTTTTCAACACTAATAAGGAAGTCAGCCTCCAATAAAGCTCACAAGTATGACTCTTCAAAATTAGTATTTTTGCCAATATGGATATAAGTTTTGACTGGAAATGTTTTTTAAATAAAACCCCAGAAACATGTACCTAGTCCTCCTTGCTTTTCATTTTTAAACCTGAAGACCATCTGCTCAGCTTCCTTGCCTTTGTCTCTGCAATGGGTTTCCTTACATTTCAGTCATTTAACTTTACCTAAAAAGCAGTAGAAGCCTGCCAGCAACTCTTCTATTTGCACATGCTGAAACAAGACTGCTCAGAGCACCCTGCTGCAGTTTAAAAACAGAAGAATAAGCAGAGGCCTGACCCCAAGTAAATCAAGGAAAAGATTCCTGTTGATCTCAAGGCCAGAAAGGCACCAATAAATTGCCCAGACTTTGAAATAAATAAGCAGGGCACTGGTGGATGACAGCATACAGGGATAATTTTGATACTCAGGGAAGCTGATGAGAGATAGATGGTATTTTATTCCCCTTCTCTATCTGCCTTTGGCACATCAAGGGTTTGCTTATGCACACGTATAGCTGGGCATAAACAAGGGATGAGGGGGCAGAAGGGCTGGAGGGCTTGCTTCAGCGTGTTATAGAGAACTGCAACTCATTGTGAAGCAGGCTAACCTGGAAGGGGTCCCCAAAACGCCTGTGGCAGCAGAATTCTGCCAGTAGCTTCTCTAACCCAGCTGGCTCCTTCAGTTGGAGCCCTCCTTGCTCATGCGCCTTCTCACACCTACATTCCCAAATACCTTAGGTCTTTAGACTGGTTCTGACAGACCCTCTGAGTCCCCGCTGTGCCCAAGCACCCTTCCTAATCTCTCTTGCCTGAGCCTGTTGTAGTCTGCTCTCTCTCTATAAGGCGGCTCATGAGACAGTTCTTCCGTTATAAAATTGCAGTCTCTTTGGTTGCTTGTCCCTTTTCATCTACAATTTTCCTTTAAGCTTTCCACTTCTTCTACAACGGGATCTGTAGCTCTCCTGGAGCAGAAGCTTCTCTGCATGACAGCAAACTCACTGTCCAAAGATCCTGCATCTGAACAGAGACTCTCTAGGGTACTGAACCCCAGCTACCCTCTGTTGACCCCTTTGGACATTTTACGCTCGCCTCTTGAAATTGCTTTCCAAGATGGACGTAAGAAAGAAAACCAGAGAAAGGACGCTGTCATCTTATCACCAAAAATGCACTCAGAAAAGAAAACTGAGTTTGCCATTTTCTGCACAGATGGAGAGCTGTATGCTAACGCATTACATCCCCTATTTATGTTATGGATTTTTTTGCAAGGCATTATTAGAGGGAACCTTGAAAGGCTCTGCTGGGAAACTTGGCAAACACTGGGGCAGACCAGTCTCACTCTCTTTTACACAGCTGGATTTTCTACAGCCCAAGTATTTTTCCCTCCTGGTCTTGGCCCATCCAAAGATGAACGCTGAATTTCCCTTAACGTTACCCACAGGTTAATTTGTTATTAAGCTTAGGCTCAGTTTAATATCTTGGCATGCAGTTTAAACAA